CTTCTCTACGAAGGAAACCTTCTGCACACGTAAACATAACGCTTATTTAAGTTGAGCGTTTTAAAGAACTGGCGTAACATTATTAATAAAATCTGAAAAAATTTCAGTTATTGAAAATTTTTGGAAAATGATTTTTTTCAAGAGAATCATTTCTGAAACAGTTATTTTAAGAGAAATATTTCCAAATCAATTCTCTTGAAGAGAAAATACTTCCAGAATGTATGTATTTCTCTTTTAAAGAGTTTTTTTTTAAGAATTTTACTCCTGGAGTATTGTTATTTAAGAATTTTACTCTTAAAGCATTTTTCTTTAAGAATTACACTTTTGAAGTATTATTTTTTAAAAATTACGCTTTCTGAGTATTATTCTTTAAGAATTTTACTTTTAAAGAATTTTTCTTTAAGAATTATACTTCTGAAATATTTTTCTTTAAGAATTACGCTTCCAGAGAGTTTTTTTTTAAGAATTTCACTCTCAGAGAATTTTTCTTTAAAAATTATACTTATAAAGAGTTTTCTTTAAAAATTACACTTCTGGAATATTATTCTTTAAAAATTTTACTTCTGAAGTATTTTTTTTTTAAGAATTATGCTAATAGATTATTTTCTTTAAGAATTTTATTTCTTAAATATTATTCTTTAAGAATTATATTTTCAGAGTATTAATAAATAAGAATTGATTTAAAATACAAAATTTATATTTATTTAGTTTATTTAATAAATATAATTATATTTATTTGCAAAAAAATAATTAAAAAAATTTAAGTAATCTTAAAAATAATATAAAAAAATATATAAAATACATAAAATAAAAATGAATATATAATAAATCTTTATATAATAAAATAATTATTCTAGAGTATTATTTTTTAAAAAAATAATTCTTTTTAAAATAAATCTGATTTGAATTATCCTTTAAGATACAATACATGCATTTATCAATTGTTTCATTTTTTACACTGCATCTTTTTTGTACTACCAAATCTGTTTCACCTAAAAATATACTTTTTATAGGTGTACTTGTAGCTAAAAAATAACAATTATAATAAATTTTTAATAGTAATTATTTATAAATAATAACAATTATAATAAATTTTTAATAGTAATTATTTATAAATAATAAAAATAATACAATCATAATATTCATATTAACCTAAAACAGACAAGTAATCTTTAGTAATTTTAAAAAGATTTGAATATATTTTTTCATGAAGCTTTATTAAACATGGGTATCAAAACCTCCAGGAGCATTTCCAAAAGTTTCAGATTTTGGTATATACGAATCGAAACTTGACTCATAATCAAAACTTCTACCGAATCCTGAAACCATTTCCGATATCTGAAACATATTCTGATTTTTCGAAATTTATTTCATAACCCTAAACTTCTACCAAATCCTGAAACTAAATTTTATTATAATGATCGTTATACAAGATACCCGATTATGTAATAGCGATAATCTCTCTTTCATTTAGAAATGTCTGATAATAACGAAACTTCAACTTCAAAAAAATTAAAGTCCACCAATACTGGTGGACGCCCAAAAAAACCTATTTAAAGATTTTTTGAACAAGGGCATGAATTAGATAAAGAACATTATGTTGCAACATGTTTAGCATGTGACCAAACTTTTCAACCTGAAAAGACCGGAATAATGGAAAAACATATAATTAATTGTTCAAAAGTGGACCATTCAATTCGTGAAACCATCATATATATGGCAGAAACACGCGAAATATCTTCCCTTAATGCTATCAATCCTAAATGTAAAAAAAGTCAAGTTGAGAATGAACAAACAACTTTAGTCAAATTCTATAAAAATTCAGAATTAAGGAGAGAATGAAAAGATATTATTGATACAGCTCTTATTAAAGCTTTTGTATGTTGTAGCTTGCCATGGCATCTAATTGAACATCCATTTATCATTGAATTGCTCAAGCAACTTCGGCTAAATTATAATCCACCAGATCGAAAAACAATTATTAATACATTATTAACACAAGAAATTTTGCGAGTTAGTGTAAAATGCTATAAGATA